TCTCTCAGATCCATGTGGTGGTGCATACCTCTAGTCCCAGCTACTCCCAGATACTAGGATCACTTGAGCCCAGAAGTTTTGAGACCCCACCTGGCAGAGAGAAAAAAAGACACTCATGCCCAGGGATGCATGTGTGTGCACACAAATCAACAAAGAAAGCACTGCCTTTCAGCTCTGCTCAATTTGTTACTGGAATCACCCCACCCTCTCCTTAGAAATAGTAGTTTTTTTTCTTAGAAATAGTAGTTCTCTTCTATGCCTGGCTAGCAAGTTGATGTGCTATACAACAAACACCCTCTAATTTACCATCCAGCAAGCTTTTTGTTGTTGTTGTTGTTGATATTATTATTTTATCAAATTTCATCAAAATAGGTCATATCTAGCTAGTACAATCTAACAAATAAGATCATTGCTGAGTAAGTTTCTTAAGCTGTAGGTGCGTTCAACCTCTTGAATTTGTTATTCTGCTAAATCTTTACAATGTTACCTTTGCCTTCCTTAAGAGTCCATTTTTATTTGTCCTTGAAACACAGTGTCACTTTGCTGCACATGCAATAGTATTTGTTCTTTTGAGAATACATACATTTTAAATTCTACAAAGGGATAAAGTTTTCTAATTATTTATAAAAATCCTTAAATGTTTATAATGATCAGTTTAAAACATCATTAATGGCAAAGGAAGAATTGTGTATTTTTATTTCCCTACCCCAGCTACTTCTTTTCTTCTTGCCTGCTTAACTTTTTATTTATAACAGGTGGTCATTTTTCTTTTAATTTATATTTATGAACAAATGTTACAATAAATTAGATTTCCTACCAATAGTTTAATACTCGGTGCCATTCCTTTTAACATTCACCTTCCTAAACTTGGATTAATTTTAGCATCCCCTATGTTTTTGGTACCATGTTAATAAACTTGAAAACTACCTCTATATAGTTTGTATGTTAACTTTAAAAATGAATCATTACATAGATAAATGTTTTTGGGTCAATACTTTTTCAGTTCAAATAAAGTATTATGAGAGAAATAGGACTTTTAAATTTTACTAGGTTCAATGAAACTCACAACCACAAGAATGGGATCCTAATTAGAGTAAATCATTCTCCATGTATGTATGTCAGAATACACTGTACTGTCATGTATATCTGAAATAAATAAATAAATAAATTTCACCAGGTTGCTCGAATAATTTATTTTTCCAATTTTAAAATCACATAGTATGTCTATGTTTAGATTTCTGTGTGCTATGAATATTTCCATTTCTAAAATTCATTTTAAAAAGAGATACGACTTTCCACATTTTATCATTGCTTCTATTCCAGTTCTTTGGAAACATCAGTTATGCAAACACTGGGTCTCGGGTCATTCCCTGTAATGACCTCCAATCTCATCTGGGCCATGTAGGTGCTTTTCTCCACATCCGTTTTATTTATTTATTTATTTTTTACATGAGTATTATTATTATTTGCATTATAATTCTTAATACACCTTTATACCACAATTTATTATGTTTCTGTATGTAAGATATATTGACACCAAATTCACATCTTCATACATGTATTTTGTATAATGATGAGGGTCTTCTTCCACCATCCATGCAATTCCCCTTCTCCCTCCCTTTCCCTCCCACCCCTCTTCCTTATCTAGAGGTAATCTTCCTCCCATGCTCTTCCTCCCTATCCCATTTTGAGTTACCCCCCTTATATCAGAGAAGACACTTGGCATTTGTTTTTATTTCAAAGCTCCTGTGCTCACCTCAAACCTATCAACTTGGAAAACCATTGTACAAGGGTCAAATCTAGCTTGCTGCCTGCTTTTATAAATGGCTCTAATGGAACACAGACATATTCATTTGTTTGTATATTGGCTATAGCTGCTTTTATCCTTCCATGGCACAATTAAGTATGAGGGACCAGCAAACTAAAATATTTACTATCTCATCTTTTACAAAATAGGTTTACAGACCTCTCCTCTAAACCTATTATCACCTATTCCCTTTACTCGGTTACAAAGAATATAAAATATGAGTATAATATAAGCTTAAAGGAAAAAAAAGAGGTACAAAAATCAGATTCTGTACCTATGTATTTTTCCCTCCTGTGGGCATTCTCCCCATCTGAGATATGTTCCTCTTCTGACTAGGATCTCAGTAATCTTATCTGTATTATATTCCCTGACTCCTAATTCTCACCTTAATACACTGACACTATTCTATTCCCCTATCCCATCAAAAGAAAACAAACCTATTTAAATAAAGAACTCAATTTAAACCCCATCCTGTAGCTACAGTTTCCTATTTGCCTTCTTCACCTAACATCCTATGTTGTACACTTACAGCATCCATTTCCTTACTCCAATTCTACTACTTTCCTCATTCTGAAAAATCCTTTCATTTCCTGCTGGAAAAAAATCTCACTTATACTTCAGCAGCATGTGACACTATTAGTCATTTCTTCTCCTGAAACGTTCTATCTCAGGCTTCTGGGAGGGACATTTTTCTTATAATTCATCCTCTTTTGTAAGATTCTCTTTCTTGTGTTTGCCTCGTTAGCAAGTTGATGCGCTATACAACAAACACCCTCTAATTTACCATCCAGCAAGCTTTTGGTTGTTGTTGTTGTTGTTGATATTATTATTTTATCAAATTTCCTCAAAATAGGTCATATCTAGGTAGTACATATCCGAGCTGCCTTCTCTTCAGTCTACATACAAATTATCACCTACATTTTAATGATTCCTAACTTTTATTTATAAGTGATACCATTTGCACATTTCACGTAGCCAAACAGAATGCCCCATAGGAACCTTAAGCTCAGAAATGATATTGCTTTCCAAAACTGAGCACACCCTTGTGACCACTCTATTAGCAAATGGCAATGTCCTCCACCGGGTATCCAAATGCAAAACCTGAGAGTCATTCTTTCCCTTCTACCAAATGCCATTTATTTTCAAATCCTTTCAATATTTCCTCTCAGATTTCCTATTGATCCATTGTGATGTTCTCAAACCTTACATAGAACACAGGCATCTTTAACCTCAAGAGGATTTCTACCCTCTTCTTAGCTTCCTAATCTATGTGAAGATTGATAGATTGTTGATCATGACACACCTCCTTTTCCATTTTAAAGTCCTTCAATGCACACAGGTTAAATCTAACTCCTTCAATATGGCCTATTAAAAACCAAGACTCTAACTTACTGGTTAACATTAGTTGCCCCATCTCTTGATGCCCTAGGAAATAGCCATATTCATTTTCACATCCATTAATGTTCCTTATGAACCTTGGTCAACCTCTGGGACTTCACATAGTGGGTTAGATGATGCTCCCATAAAGCTGCCTAATTCTCAGTCTCAATTTAGACATCAATTCCTCAGGAAGACTAACTGGGACTTCCACTCCGCACCCCAGGTTAGGCATTCCTCTTGTATTCCTATCAATACAAATGCTTTCTTCAAAAAAAACGGTTAATGAGGACACAGACCATTTCTACTTTATCACCATAAACAGAGTTCAGCACAGTGTTCAGTAGTACTCTATTTAATGCCTTGATTGAATCTGAACTACTTATCATCTTTATTTTTACGTACCTATTCTTGTCCTTGTGATATGGGGGCATGTTCTCATACTTTTCAAAAATGTCCCCTTTATCATTTCTGATTATTTCTCATTTAATGCATCTAATTTTACCACTCTTTCAATTGTGTCATTTTATACCTTTGCCTATAATACTTTCATAATGACCCTCAAAATTTTTTACATTCTAAAAACTTTTTTGCTTATGGCAGTAAATCTATTTTAGAACAAAGTGAGTATAAGAGCCTTCAGGGCACTGTGTGTATGTGCACATGCTATAATTGTTACTCATATATTTTGCAATCTTTCTCATGCCTCATACCTATTAAGGTCTAATTTGAATTTGAGGAAAACTGTAAGATTAGATAATACTGAAATTGTTTGGCTGTTATGTCACAGATTGACACATGACTACATCGGAATTCTTGATAAAAAGAACAAAGGGGTGGGGACCGGAAGGCGAGGAAGAAATGGAAATACAATAGGAATGTCAAACTTTTTTTGCTAATATACACAAACCTTCCTTGTACCACAAAAAGGCAGCAGTTGACATTTTGTGAAAGTTCCTACTAATTTGTTTTCTATTTAAAAACAGTGATCCAAGCAAATGCCACTCTTGGCCTTCTCTTGGAAACAAAAGCATTTTGAGGTAGTAGGTGGAGGAAAAACACATCCCACAGTTATAAAGCAAAAAATTAATGAGGCTAGTTGCTGCAGAGAGGAAGATAATAGAGTTCACTAGAAAAGTTTTCAATATGATCTACCATTTTTTCTTTTTTTTTTTTTAGATGTTGATGAATCTTTATTTTATTCATTTATTTGTATGTGGTGCTGAGAATCAAACCCAGTGCCCCACACATGCTAGCAAGTGCTCTACCACTGAGCCCATAACCCTAGCCCCTTGTCCTATTTATTATACTTGCACAGAAAATGTTTTAAGGTTCACAACTTGTTATTCTTTTAAGGGCAATTATTGAATGTGCAGATGTGTTGCTGGTATATTAAAGACTTTCACTATGCTTTTCTAAATGACACCTAACTGTGTTACTGTTACTTGGCTGGTTCAGAATAATCTGCCCCAAATCTAACTTTTCATAGAAGCAAAAAATGAAGTTGTCTGGGATAACTGAAATTAAAAAGGGACAGAAGTGTCAGAGAAAAGGCGATCTTTAAATTTATATTACCATACATGGTATTAGAGTAAGTCATTCAATATGGATGGTATGCACATGTTAAAAATAAATATGTGCAATATCTCACAGTTAAAGGGTCTTTAGTAGGTTCCCTAAAATACTAGCTCTGCCAAGTAGAACAGTCAAATACTACACATAATTTGTTTTTATCAAATGCATGGCTCTTTTGCAAAGTAATACACTAAAGAGAGAAGATGGTATTTTTCAAATAAACACAAAATAAGTCAATTAATTCTGAATAAGTAGTAACAACTTTATTTTAACTCAACGTGCTGAAATGCAAAAAATATTTTCAGCAACAAGATACAAGTAGTATCTTATCATTAACATCAACTGATTAAAAATGAGGCTGAAAGTCCAATAAGATTTTATACATTTGAATCTTGAAAGTCAACTTCCCTCAGAACTAATATTTAAATAATTTCAGCAGAAATATTTTCAAAATGGGACTTTTGTATCTTAATTTTTAAAATCTGAATGCAAAATTAACTGGGTTACAGTATACAATGATAAACTCTAATAACAGAAAAAGATTTATAATATAAAGAATTCCTTTTCAAACATAAAGTTCACATACTACAAACAGAAGACACTGTGTGATTTCATTCCCAGTGAGAGGAAGTCTTGCATATGGTAGGCACTCAATATTTGTTCAACTGGACCTAAAATTTACATCATTCCATGAACATTTAAATAAAGTAGAGCTCATAATCTGTATAAAAAAGGTTTGCAAAATACTCTTATGTGTGCTGAAAGTGCTGTCTTTATAATCTGAGAACACTAAGACAAACCCATTTACCCACCCACCTCCTTTTACAAGAGTACAGTGAATATTTATTTTATCCAACAAAGAGCATGCATGTCCACGTCAGACTAGTTCACCTCTTTATACATGGCTGTGAGCAAAGCTTGTTGAGTTGAACTTTCATAAAACTTACTGAAGAAAATACCTGTTGTGTTTTAGCAACAAGGTGATCCAAACTTTTTTGATTTTTGGTGGTGCTAGGGATTGAACCCAGGGCCTCATGCTAGCAAGCACCATAGCACTGGGCTACACCCCCAGCCCTTGTCTATAATTTTCTAAAGAATTCTGCTTGAATATTAAATTTATGCATAAAATGTTATATGGGTAAATTAATAATTACACTTTTGACAATTTAAGCTCTCAGATCTGGCTTAAAAGTTAATATTGTTCTTAACTTTTCAGACATCTTTGTTAATATTTTAACACTTACAATTGATGTCCTAAAAAGGCACTGTTTTCACATTTCATCATGCAGTACATTGGACACATTTTTGAGAATTAAAATTTCCTGTCAAATAAATTATCCTCCAAAATAAAGCACACTTAAATGTAAGATTTCAACTAACCTGAATTTTTGACATTTAACTGAGTCCTATTTTCAGAGGTTCACTTTCTGAACATATCTCCACACAAGCCCGAGTACAGATACACAAGCGTAAGCGTGCGCGCGCACACACACGCATTCCACATAAATGACCACGTAATTCATGCAAGGTTCTCTAATCACTATTTGAAGACAATGACATGAGTATTCAGGGAGGTAAAATTGGCAAGCCATATTATGGCACCTTCATATTTGTGCTCCAAATATCAATACATGTTAAAATTAAAAAATGAAAAAGGCACAAATATAGTGTCTTTAAATCTTAGTCTAAAGAACGGTTATCCAATGGTTCTTTTTTTAATAAGTAATATTTGAAACCACTCAATACTTTATATGGAAAAGTGTCAAAAGGGAAACGGGAGCAGGTTGATAGTTTAAAAGGCAAGACTGCTCTGGACAAAAAACTGTGCCTATTATGAATAAAATGTATGCAGTCTAGAAATGGGGCAGTGGGTGGGGAAAGGCTTTTAGAGCACTAACATAAGAATACTTTTTTTTAATCATTGCCTTAAGAACCCATACCAAAAATATACATAATAAATAAAAAAATAAATCAACTACCATATGATTCTGTTAGTATAATGGTAGGCATTATATTATTTGAAAAGTGGACATTTCTACAAACATGGATATTTTTACAGCACAGTGTTTGACATTTTTGGTACAAAATGTGCTAACAAACTAAAAAAAATCCTTATAATAAAATTCTTAGGATTTGCAATAAACACTAGAATAAGGGCAAGCTGAAATGTTCACTATAAGGTATTAGTCACTATGGTAAGAAGTGCAGATTGAAGCAGTAAATTAATTCACAATGTGCTGGGGTGGTGTACATTTGATATAAAAGGATACACCAGAGATATTTTAATATATGACAACATAATTCTATAACTGGAGGGAATTTTTGTTTTCTTCTAAGATCCTGGTAAAATCTTAAAATTAAAAATGTGTGTGTGTGTGTGTGTGTATTTTTAAAATTGCACATTATAAATTTAACAGGCTCAATCTTATGGTGGAGTTAGGGAAGTGAATTTCTACTTGCCATAATATTCTTAAATAGGATGAAGTCCATTGCTTGTATTCCAAGGAATTCTTCTAATTTTAAATTTAAGTTACCACAACAAAGACTCAATCAAGATATGCAGAAAGAAACTAAGACATGTGAAAAATATGATCTTTTCAAACTGCGGTTTGTTGTGGATAACAAATGCTTATTTGATGGTGTTTGTTCAATGCAATTAGGAATCACTCTTTATATATTAGGATTGCTTCAGTCACAATCTAACAGAGATAGCAAAAATAAAATCTATTTTAAAACCTCAAGCTTCATTTTTTTCCTTTGTCCTGAATTCAAAAACTAAATAAACAAATTACAGAAATTTAATCTTGAGAATAAAATTATATATGCAAACATATAGGTATATGCAACTTTTTTCCAGTGACACACTTTTTCCCTTGTTGTCAAATAAAAATCTTGCCTGAAAAGCACACTGTCACTGCTACAGTAAGTCAGATGTGGTGCTCGGACACTGATCACTCCTGCTTCTTTCTCTAGGACTATACACCAGAACAGACCTCACAACTATCAAACACTGACATTTCTGTGTGTTTAAAGCTAAGATTCATGTATAATAAAGAACTGGCCCATGAAAAGCAGTTTATAAATAGTTTATCCTGTTCACATTATGCAGAATTTCAATCATCCACAATGTTAGTACAGTAACTGAAATACAAAGAAGAAAATAATAAGGGGGAAAAAGCTCAAAGTGTGGCCTGACATAGTCTAAGGGCTCCCTTCTTTACTATGCATCTCCCACAGACAAATCGCTATAAGACAAATATCTGTTAATTGTGTGGAGAGTAGACTGTCCAGGATTCATTTATTTTTCAGTTGCCTTTTCCAAAGTGTGATAAAACAAGGATAAATTCAATAATGAATATATGAAATCCAAACCAATTTATCTATAGTGGATATCTTTCTTATCTATTAATATCACAAACATCTCAGTTGCCTCCGTCTGAATTTCTTTGAAAATTGAAACACAATTAATTATACCTTAATAATCCCCCCAAAGCAAAAAATATATGTACCATTCAGCATACAAAAGTTACACATTAAAAGTGCATATATATCTTCCTTAATTGGCCCACTCATTAAATTTACATTTGGTCATCCTTACTTTTAACATGTACAGAATTCTTCATATAGGTAGGACATTATAAATTAAGAAAAAATTACTTCAGCACAATACATACTTTCTGCTTATTGAAATCTTAACCTCAATCAGTTTTCAATCATTGTAAACTTGGATAAACCCACAGTTTCTTGGACAGCTAACATACAGACAAACAAATTTTACTAAAAATCTGGGCCAACTCATTGCATATTTGCCCCCTGAAATGAAAAATAAATTAGAATCGAAGCAGTGTATTGCCATAACTTACCTTGCAGGTAAGCAGGTTCTCCTATATTTATAGAACTTAAACTGGAGACATTACTGATAACCTCCAATAGAAGTGCTTTTAAGGAGAATCTAGTTTTAAACTTTGAGATAGCATAGGACAAACCTTATAAAATTCATTTTCTTTTCCCCAAAATAATGGAAGATCCTTTTGAAACTTAATATCATCAGTTATCAATATTACTGCATTATGGAGCTAGTGCAATCCTGCATAGCCTTGGTCAAAATGACAAGGCACAATAAAAAAATTAAAGTTATTATATGAACAAGAGAAGTCATTGAAGATAATTTAAGGCCTTGAAGTGAAGTAATCAGTCTAATTTAAAGCTGAAGTATAAACCATAAATTATCCACCTGAAATGCAAGCAGTATGCTTTTTCAGCTTCTGTTCTGTGGACAAGAAAACAGAAACAACTCTTGCTTATGGTTTGTGTATTAGAATCCTTCTGGACCTGGAGGAGTAAAAGTCAATTCCTTTTTTTTCCTACTGTTCATGGAAGATTTCAGGACTGCTTTAGCCGTTTGCGTGGAATGCCAAACTGTGGACACTGTGCAGATGCTAATGCCCGGAAGGCTTCTGCTACTAAGTGAGGGTGAGACTGAATCATGGACTTCCACCCTGATGTTTCCATTATGTCGGTTGCTTGGCTGAAAAAGAAAATAAAGTGACGTTTACTAAAGAATACTTTTCAAAATGCACTTTTGCATTGTCATTTCTTTTTTCAATTGGTGTTTTTTTGTTTTTTGTTTTTGTGGTGCTGGGATTGAACCCAGGGTCTTGTGCATGTGACGCAAGCACTCTATCAACTGAGCTATATCCCAAGCCCTAATTGGTGAATTTTGAAATGTTCAAACTCTCTCTCTTTATCTACTCAAGTTATTTAAATTTATTAAAATATCTTCATCTTACTGGTATTTTCTGTTGCAGATGTAATTATTCTATTTTTTTGGAAGACTGACTCCCTAACCCTAACCCTAACCCTAAAGTATATGCAACATGGTCTCCATAGTCCTATTGTAAACTATGCTATCATTCTGTACCAGCTCTTTGAAGAGCCCCTTTCTCCTTTTAACTTGCCTCTTACAGGCAGGTTTTCTCAAGTTCTGATTTTTGCCATCTGCTTTTGTCTTTTAATGTGCATTATCTGTTCTACCCCATCCACTCTTCACAGTTTTAACAATCATACTGAATGACTGCTGTCAATGACAATTATCAATGATAATCACTGTTTTGCTAAACGCTAGGCCTCTCCACAAGGTTTGTTCTCAATTACTTGCTCTTTTATTTATTTATTTATTTAGTGGTGTTGGGGATTGAATCAAGGGTCTTGTGCATGCTAGGCAAGCACTCTGGCCACAACCTAGCCCTCACCTGCTCTTTTTATTTGCATGTGCCTCATGCTGCACAAGTTCAGGACTATCCTTATCATCTCTCGCCTCAAACTCCAAATTCTTCCTCCTTCATTTTTAATCAGCTAAAGCTTCCACCAACACCAGTAATTCAAATTAAAAACTGAGAGTCATCTCAAAGTCTGTCTTTTCTAATTTAAATCATTAAAGTCCTATGTTAATTCATAAAAATGTCTTGAATCCCTGGTTAAGGCCTTCATCATCTCACATTTGGATTATTATAAAAGTCTCCTTATTTGTCTTCTGTCTCCTATTTTGCTCTTCTTTCAATACAGCCTCCATACTGCTGCCTTAGTAACATGACTCTTATTAAACATAAATATGACTATATCATTCTCTCTCTTATTATTCCCTTTTTCTAAGTTTTAAAAAGAGAAAAATGGCTCCTTATTACTAGTCCTGTACTTCCTCTCTGTACCTTTCCACTCCCAAATTTATGTTCTAACTTCTTATACTCGGGTACTAAATTGCTTATATAATATGATCTCACTGAGCAATCACAGTAAATAACTGCTCAAGTAACAAATTTAGTAACCCTTCCTTTCCTCCTCTTTTCACTCTCTTTAACCAACCAAAAACTATTATAGATTCTCCCTTCAGGGTATTTCTTTTATACTTTCATTTCTCACAAGTCACACTGTCAACTAATCAAGTCTAATTTTACCCTTCATCTTTTTGCTTGAACTACTCTAATAACTTTCCTAATGGCCCACCTGTATTTAAATGTGTTCCTTTACTACCACTATCATTCCAAATTCCCCAAAATCCATTCTCCAATGCGCATGCAGAGATTGTTGGAAGTGCAAACCAGATCATGCCCTACTCTAGGTAATAACCTTTTCTGTATGCTCATTACTCTTTGGTCTTGGAATAATGTCTGGAAATCCTAATGTTACATGGCTCTTGTGTTGCCTCAGCTTTTTTCTCATTACCTACCCTACCTTACACATACGCACAAACTGTATACTGCGTGCACGCTCTCTCTCTCTCTCTCTCTCTTTCTGTCTCTCTCTCTCATCACTAAAACTTCGAAAATTTTTATTTCCCTTTTTGGGGCTACACTTTTCCTTGTTCTTTTCTTCACCATTCCTATCAATATTTTAGGTCCTTATTTTTAAAATTCCTTAAAGATGTTTTCTGTCACCTAGATGAGATTAGGACCCTTTGGCATATTCTGCTATGGGGTACATTCTTTATCATCACACTTTACTGCAATTACATGTTTAATTATTTAATCTGCCACTAACTCCTTGAAGTCAGGAAAAACATCTTGTCATGTTCACCACTATATTCTCTGTACTAAGCATAGAGAATTGGATATTTATTGAATAATAAAAGAATCTGTCAAACGATCAACTGCTTCATACTTCTATACTTTAGTCCACGCTATACTTTCTGTCTTTAATTAATGTCTACTACTACTTCCTTCTTAGTTCTGCTAACTCTAGTTAATTTTTTTAAAAACTCAACTCTGGAAAGCCATCCCTAAATTTCAATGTCTGTACACATCCTCTTCTATATTACTTACCATATTATAATGAAATGATATATTTGTGTATCTATCTCCAATGGATAAATTTCTAAAGAACAAAGATTTTTCCCTCAAAGGCCTTTTTATCTGTAGCACATAAGCATGGTGCTTGAGACAAAAAATGCTAGGTAAATGTTAAACTAAAATTAGCAGATATCAAAAAACAAATTTTTACTTGTCAAAAATCAAGTTACTAGTGTGTCATTATGTCTAAAACCTAATTGTTTATAACCACAGAAAATTTTTAATATACCTGACCTTTTCATTCATTAATTTCATAAAAATCTATTGCAAACGTATAATTAGAAAGGATCAAAGAATTGTCATTTGCTGCTAATACAGACATTCTAAATCCAAAATTCAAAATTATTTTGCCCCCTAGGGACATATATCATGTTGAAATTGAATTATGAACTGAGCAATATACAGGACAACCAATGATTTAAAAATAGTCAACTACTTCTTACTTCCAGGAAACAAAATTCAGAAACTAATAGGATTTCAGCTAATCAATTTCATATATATAAAAGTAGATGGAAGTATTGGGAAATAATTAAGTGAACAAACAAATTCATTTAAATGTCTAACACTGTCCTCTTTTTTGCTTTTATATACCATCTCTTCATAATTTAAAAAAATAGAATTTAAGGGTTCATAGGTAAAACTAATCAAAACAAATGCAGAATCTTCAAACTATCAACTACTTTCCCTTTTTGATTTCAAAAATTGCAAAGATATAGAAAAGTTACCTTAAAAATAAGAAAGTTTTTAAGAAGTAGGGTATAATAAGTTCCAAGAGTTCATATTCAAAGATCTATGCTTAGAAGAACATGATAAGCCTTCATCCCCTTATACATTTACCAGGGAAAAGAAAAATCAAATTGCTACCAGTTTGGGAATATTAGGAAGCTCAACCTAATAGCTTATGATTCAAGATACTTGACTGACTAACCTAAGGAACAGTGAGTTCGCACTAAATGTAAAACCTTTCAAAGCAAATATGAAGAATATATTCTTCACTGGACTAAGTGAATATTTCTCACAATTTTTAGCAATGCTTTCTGAAGGGGCAGAGGCTAGATCTCTAGCAGTCCTTAGTAATACTTGGACTCAGTATATACCATGTGGCATATGTGCTTAAGAAATTAGGGCATCCATTTCAGTGTGCATTAGAAGCTGATCTACAAGGGAGCATAGCCTCAGGAATCCACTAAGTGATTAAATAATTTTTAAAAAATAACTAGCAGATTTGCTTCTTATAACTAACATCTGGATTCATACTTAAGGTAGAAGAACAAAAGGCTATGCAAACACTTAATTTCATTATGCAGATCAGAAACTGATGTCATCTTACTTGCTGTTCCAGTTTTTCCCATCTTTACACCCAAGTTGTCGAAGTACACTGCACCTGCATTGAAGATTTAAACACACTTAAAAAAAAGTCCAGTGATAAAATGTTGAAGGTGTCATGCCCAATGAAATACAAGCATACCTCACCTATTAATAAAGTCTATGGCTTGTGCTTTCAACTGTTCTGCACTGTGCAAATCTGCAAGGACAAGGGTATCAGCAACATTTTCTACTGAGAGGTTACTACACAAAGCTTCTTCACACATGACCTTCAGTCGTTCCAGTGCATACTATTCAAAAGAAAAATAATCATTAAACATTTACTTCAACTACTAGGTTTTCAAATACATAATATCTGTAACTTAGAAAATAAAGCAGATTATTATTTGAATTAAAGTTATTTGAAAAGTCATTAAGTCATTGTTTTCATTAAAATGAAGAAAATATGAACAAATTCGTCCATTTAGGAGAAAGACCAGTTTGCTTTAGGCAATTTCAATCTACCTAAATGCAAAATACAGTGTTTTCAAAGTAGGAGTTATGCTACAAGCTGCCTTATTATTCAATATTCCTAAAGAGTATATTTTACTTCTCTACTATTTCATACCTAGAGTGTGCCATTCAGTACATTGCATTGTGCCACTACTCAAGCTTACATAATGAATTCATTAAATGTCAAAGAAATCATATTCGCCACCACTAAAAATTCTTTTAAAAGTTATTAGTGGACACATAATATAACATTTTACTGCAGCTTTATACTCAGCCATAAAACCATCAACCATTCCTGAGAGAGAATATGCCTATCATCCCCCAACGTTTCCCACTACCTCTTTGTAGTCCTTCCCTCTCACTGTACCCCAGGCAATACCTCTTGATATGCTTTCTATCACTATTTCTATTAGACTGCATATTCTGAAGTTTTCAATAAATGAAATCAGACAGCATGTATTTGTTTCTGTCTGGCTCTTACCACTCGGTGCAACTATTTTCAGATTCATGCATGTCAATGGCTATAAATCAGTAGTTCATTCACTTTTATTGCTAAATAGTTTTCTATTGAATATTTTACCAGAATTTATATACTCAACTGTTGATGAACATTTGGGTTGTTTCCAGTCTTAGCTATTTCAAACACAGCTGGTATGCACGTGAATATACAAGTCTTACATGGACTTATGTTTTCATTTTTCTAGAGTAAAACCCTAAGAGAGGACTTACTGGTTCATAGGTAGGTTTATATTTAACTTTTGAAGAAAGTGCCAATTTTCCAAAGTGGATGTATCATTTGGTACTTTGATGAGCAGTATTTGAGAATCCTAATTCTTCCATATCCTTGATAATACTTGGTATTTTTAGCCATTACAACACATATGTCAAGGTACACCATGACTTTATTTATATTTTCCTAATGGCATTGGGCATATATAATATACTTCATTATTTTATTTCAATATGTGTCTGTTCAAACATTTTGTCCACTTATAGAAATAATGTTTTCTTTACAATTGAATTTGAAGAGTTCTTTTCATAGTATGAATACAAAAGTCAGATATATATTGAATGTGATTTTCAGATTGAGAAGCACTGGCTTTAAGATCTTCTGATGTATTTGCAGTTCCCTTACCTTCAAGTAATCATCTTTACAACAGAAAATCATCATATTGTAAACTTTATTTTTCCTCCTCCTATGCTGTCATAATAAAAAACAAATCTACAAATATGGAGAATTAAATTGACAATATTCTCTCTGTTTTGTAAAAAACAAAGGTCATATGCAAAATCTTAAGACTACCTGAAAACTGCAATAAAATCTATAAAGTATTGTGTGTTCTTCTAAAGGGAGTAAATATACACTCAAAAGAGTTGTTTAAAGCTTGATCTTCCCTGAAAAACAAAAACAAAAACAAACAAACAAAAAAAACCTGTTTCTTCTTGAATCAAGGTATTATTATCTTATTGATTTTCCAAACAATCTAATTTCCATATTATCCCACTGTATGCTATTTCATAAAACTCTCAAGAGCCACCTTGAGTATAAATTAACTCAATATTTCAAGATGTTTGGAATTTTCATTTGATGATAGCTTTCTATATACATCAAGCTTGAGGATATTTTTCAGCTCCTTAAAGCCTAATTACTTACTTTGTCTGCAGCTGCCAACAAGTTGTCAGCCATTTTATCAAGATTTGGTGCTTTCCCTGTGTAAACGAATCTCATCATTTCTTTAAAAACCTCAGGGTCTAAATCATTTATTTCCACTCGATTCTAATATTGAAAACAACACAAAAAAAAGTTAAAGAATACATAAATATAAATGAATCTCTGACAGTAATTTTAAAACTTCAAATCTGTATAAAAGTACTTTATCACTTAAATATACATATACAGATATTTCTAAAACTAAGTAAATCTTCAGTAAGGGAATCAGGCAAACTAATCAGACAAGTTTAAGAGAAAAGAATATACTGTGTGAGAAGTGGGTGGGAACCATGACCAGTTGGAAAGCCCATACCCTGATAGACCAAGTAATGCACTGTCATGAGGGTATATAAGCTTATACCAGTTTCTCAATAATTAAAAACAAACAAATAAAATCTTAAGCCAAACAAAATACATCTGTGTACAATTTCTGCACTTTAGTAACTTTTTCCCTGTTGAATTTCTGGGTCCTAATACAATGCCTAAGATCATATAACCAACATTAAGCAAAAGCAAGGACAGAAGGTTTTTGATATAATAAGAGAGCACACTACCTCATGACTTCCCCTTTTGCAAAAATGACATATAATATTATCTACTGGCATTTCCTTGCTTACTTGAGACACTTACATCCAAAGAGGACTAGTTGCTTTTTCATTTATGAATCTTCATATTTCATTTGTCTCCTGACATCAATAAAGTTAAACATCTAACACTAAACAATACCAAACTTTCCTAACCCTTGCTGCCAACAATACTTGACACCACTGTTATTTCCTCACTTAGAAGTGATCAGAATGTTGATCACAGCATCTCCCTAGGATAACCATGAGAGGAAAGAAAGCCATTATTTCACTGCAGCTTCCAGTTCTGCATAAAGAACAAAGGTGGGCCACATGAATAAACTTAGAAATTGTCTAGTGGAAGTCCTATGTCCTTTTTGTTAAATCAAATAAATATTCTAGTGGTGAACAGAATGCAGATATTTTTGTTGCTAGAGAACAAATTGCAAAATTAACCTGAAAAGTCTAGAAAGGGGTCATATCCATCTTAACCAGAGACCTTTCTATTATGGACCAGAAAAAGAATCTTTTTTTTTTCCTCCCTCATCCCTTGTTGTGCTGGAAAGCAAACCCTGGGCCTTGTGCATGCTTAGCAAGGGTTCTACCACTGAGCTATATCCCCAGTTCCTGAAAAGTTCTTCACGATAACGACTACCCACATGGGCATCATGATAGCGATTTCCTGGAATACACTGAACAATTCACATTAAGCTACATCTTTTGTTCTATTACAGCAGATATCTCCTCTCCAATCTGTTTCTAAAAATTTCCCTACTTACCACAGTATAGCAATGAGGACATACACAGTGCACTGTTAATTTTGAAAATATACATTCCCTTATTTTACATGAGTATAAATTAAATATTAAGCCTTTAAGTCATGTTTACCTTTTTGCTTTCTTCCATTTCATGTTCAAACATTGCATTAAAAACTGGGGATCGAGCTGTAAAAAGATTAAGCATCATTATTCAGTACACAAATTTATTTAAAAAATATACTAACAAAATTTCCAAAAGTAGAAAGTACCTGCAAGCACAGATTTATGAGCTTTAAATTCTTGTCCTCTCACAAAAAAACTGCAATCTGTAAATCTTGTGTTTTCCCAGAGATTACCTAAATCTTCTGCTAATCGACATTCAGGCACCTTCAAAGTATTTGTATTTGTATGTCCTGATATGTTTACTGAATCTTGGACCACACTAACCTAATTAAAAAAGAGACAGCAAGAAAAAAACTTTAAGAAATTAGTGTGAATAATGAGTTACTATGTCTATGCTTAAAATATTTATCTTAAAAACCATTTGCGGGCTGGGGATGTGGCTCAAGCGGTAGCGCGCTCGCCTGGCATGCGTGCGGCCCGGGTTCGATCCTCAGCACCACATACAAACAAAGATGTTGTGTCTGCCGAAAACTAAAAAATAAATATTGAAAAACTCTCTCTCTCTTTAAAAAAAAAAAAATCATTTGGATAATCCAGTGTACTTCTGATCAAAACACTAATACTGTGGAACTGAATTTAAGAATATAAAGGAGAGAGATAATACCGGAAATATTAGAAACAAACTAGAGCTTTGTCAATAGTGACATTTTACGCAAATGAATAGCTTATCAATTAATTGGAAAGCTTATTATAATTACAAAAACTATTTCTCAACATAATAGCCACAGTATGATGTCCAATTCAAAGGAGATGATATTTTGGGGAGGTGGAAGAAGATATTACTTTTTCACATATTTTATACATATAATGGATGTATTATATGTATAAAATATAATATATAATGTTTTACAGTAAAATATATGTAAAAGTAAAATATATGTAAAAAATAATGACTTTTACAGTAAAAGTTACAAACTTATAGTTTATTATATACAAACTGGGAAGTTTTTAAAATGTGGTTCCTATAAGTTTCAAGTATAGCAGAACTGATTTAAATAACTCCAAAAAAACAATTGTAACATTCAAGTCCATGGAAGTCTTCTATGGAAAATCAACAGCAAGAGCAATACAAACATAATTTAGTTCAATTTGCAGACTGTTATATATATTTACCTATGAAATAACCAGTAAATAAAAGTTGGTATGATTACAACATTGCTTTTATGTAAATTTCAACATAATAACCTCCATTAAAGATGACTACATTTGGACCCAAATCCTAAAACAATATTAACTCAGACTTCCATGCCACATTTTTTCTTTTCTTTCTCTCTTCCTGGGAGTTAGAACCAGGGGTGCTTTACCACTGAGTTACATCCCCAGCTCTTTTTATTTTGAAACAGGGTCTCACTAAGTTGTTGAGACTGGCTTTGAGCTTGTGATCCTCCCACCTCAGCCTCCCAAGTCTGGGTATTATACTTGTGGGCCACCACACCGAACTGTTTTACAACACTCTTAAGAAAAGGTATTTTATTATGCTACACTGGAAATTTCAACTTATAATTAATAAAGTAAAGAAAATACTACTTCAACTAATAAAGCAAATGTTTCAAAGTAAATGAACCATTATTTTAAATTAAATAAAAGGTCCTATATTAGTTATCTATTATTTTAAGATGCTATATTTTAGGGTCATTTGTTATGTAGTGATAGCTGTACTCATTTTTTATAAGTTATAATTAAGGACACATATACATAGTACAACCTATGCAGAAAATATAAATTAGAAATGGATAAATTGGATCAGACTACTAACAACATATTAGCATACAAAGCATAACAAAAGTCCAGTGTAAAAAGTCTGAAGTTATGATCCACTCAGATGTGGAAACACATATCTTGCATGAATTAATGAACAATTCTAAAAAAAAATTAGAAGACTCTTATTTCCCAGAAAATACTTTTACTAACACGTTTTCTCATGACATATTAATCTTTTGGAACCTTATCTATCATAGGAAATCAGCTAATCCGTTCACCTTATTTTACAGAGATTTCGAAGTCAGATCAAGACAAACTAATGAAGTAGCCTAAATCACATTGCTAGTTTATTAGAAAAAAAACTAGACCTAAACCTCCAGATTCCTTTTTTATAGCTCTTATGCTAAACAATACTTTTACATATTATTTAAAATTAGTGGTAATGCTTTATAACATAAGTATGATCAAAAGCAATTATTACAATAATCTTATAGATGTTTTTCTAAATATAGGGGTCAAGATATTGTGTATGGAAATAAATCCACTAATAGAAGTTCTCCTATCTCATAGCTTTTAATCATTAACATTCTCTACAATTTTAGTAATTATAATACAGGAAACAAATACTTCACTAATCCTTATCTGATTGCTCTGTTCCACTACATATTATAAGCTAATGATATACAAAACCAGAAATGTTGGTGTCAACATTCAAGGTTTAGTGATCAGTGTTTTAGTATACAGACAGTATTTATTTGTTCTTATCAAGCATTGTTCTTAAAGTTTATAGGCAGAAAGAACTGGATCTATTCAATTACTTGTATAAAGTATGCAGCAGAATCATAAAATGTGATGATATATTTAACTTAGCCAAGTTTCTTAAATGCTATTTATTGCCTATTAATTCAAAACAACATATTTGCCAAATAAAAATTTGGCAAAAACAGGTAACAGAAAAAAGGATGAAAAAATATGGATATTATTATAAGGCATACATATTAATATTATATTTATATTCTGTATAAAACATCCTATTTCAGAAAGATTTGTATTATTGACATACCTATCTACTTAACTACTACAACAGCAATCACGTATTTGAACTAAGACACATAATTAACATTTCATACTACTTAGAGTATTCATGGGACTATTTATAGAGCAGAAATTAATGACCTAATTAAAAATTGATATGTATAGATTTCTGATCACTGTTTTCCTGACATCTATAATTTAAAAAATGATAAAAATTTAGTTTTCTCTATTACAGATTCAAAACAGGTTATGAACACTCTTACTAATGGAACCTAGATTAAAAATTCAGGAAGAAGGCTGAGACTCTTTTCTCATTTAATTCATTTGATAGTCATTTTTCAAACATGCATCTGGCTCAACCCTGAAATATAATTTAGACTGAATGTGGACATTTGAGGTATCTAATCTCCTCTGTGATTCTCCTGAAACTCTGATTGTTCTCCAGTATGTAAAGTGAATACCAATATCAGTTTTTGAAAATCTGAATTCTTCAAACTAATCCTAAAATAGGATTTTCCAAAGCTGCACAATACTACAATATTGAACTCTAATCAACTACCTACAGCCCACTCCACACTGGTTCCAAAGCAAGAAACCTTTAACAGTTCAACTTTATATTGTTTTCTAGAACAGTGGGTCTCAAGAGTTTTTAACCTTCAGGAAACAGAAATAGTGTAGTCAACTTTTCATTTTACCAATAAAATAAATACCCAACTCCCACCCACAACCACAAGTATTTTTAAATAGAAAGGCACCTTATATCCTAGGGAAAAATAAGATAAAAAAAAAAAAACCCTGATGTGTTCTTAAAAATAAATTAGTTTGTGCTAGGGATGTGGCTCAGTGGTAGAGTATTTGCCTAGCATGTGCAAAAAAGTATTTACTTAGCATGTACAACGACCTGGGTTTGATCCTCAGTACCACAAAAACAAAAAGTCAGCCAATCAACCAACAACAAACAAACAAAAAATTAGTTTAACTTTATGGAACGCTACTTGCATATCTATTTTATCCATATACATATATTTTTCTGTATATTATGGAATTGCATGGGTCCATAGATTATAAGAGTAGTTAAAATCTTTCATGTTTCAAAGATTAATCCAACCAGCTCTATTTTCCCTTTTTATTCATCAATTCCTGCATTCTGCATCACTTCTGGAGAGAGGATACAGAAATATCCACCTACCTCTGGCCAGTAGAGCCACTATATGGACCTTGCAAGATTAAGCTATGTCTTGCACATACAGGTTAGCCCCACCTGCCTTACCTGTCTACAGCACCACTTGCAGGGGAGGGAGAGGAGGCAGTTCTTTAGGTGGGGCAGTGCAATGCTTCCTCCTCTTCTGCAAGCAGTGCTGGAGATGCTGTAGAAGGAAGGGCATCCATGAGAGGGGTAGAAGAAATGATAGAGGGCATGAAGAATATTATTTTAAAGCACTTTTTTGCCCACCTATGCCAATTATGATGCCCAGAGTATAAATGTCTAAATTAGTTTTTCTTTTTTTAAAGTGCATATTTCAGAATGTAAAATGGGATCGGATCAATGCCAACTTAAAAAATGCCTGAAACAGTGAGTTCTACTTTTAGGGGGTTACTAGCATGTATTATTAAAAATTTGGATACCAAGCATATTTCAAAAAATATATCAAAAAGTCATAAACTTAATTTCAGCCTTAATTCTGAATTTCTTGGTTGTCTAGGTTCCAGTATAATACAATTAGGAAAAATCTGCAAGTAATATTTCAATTCTCAAAAAAGGATTATTTTATAAAAAGAGTCATTCACAGAAGACACAGAGTATTTGCTTAGCATGTACCAAACTTTTAGTTTAAATTGGATTAAATAACCTAAGGACCCTTAAATTTTAAGATGACATTTAAAAAAATTAACACCTTCAAATTTAAGAAAATGCTAAAATTCTGGAAGATTCTACATTAAGGGTGTTAAAATTTTTAAATTCTGTAAACCATGTTTATTTAGAATGCTACTTAGAATACCTGCCTATTGGTAGCAAATGTTTTAGTTTATTTTTCCCCTCAAATAATTTAACCTTGCTCAAGAGACTGTGGTATGTGCTATATCAACTACAAGATTCATTTGTAACTAATTATATAGTTCATTTACCTTATCCAAGTGAAAATAAGTCAAACTATATCATGTCTAAAGCCAGATTTCAACTGTGACACATATTTGATTATGATACAACTTGACACACACTTAATTATAATCTTACCAAGAAATTTTGCACATTCACTATAAAGAGGTAAAAACTAACATATCAATTAAGGAAGTTATTGTCATTCTAAGACACTCAGCTGTCCACATTAATTTATTAACACATTTAATGATAATCCCAGCATCTTGGGAGGATGAGGCAAGAAGATCGCAAGTTCAAGTCTTTGCAACTTAAAGAGATCCTGTCCAAAATAAAAAATAAAAAGGGCTGGGGATGTAGCTCAGGGGTAGAGAACCCATGGATTCAATCCCTACTTTACATATATATGTACTTTACATATATAGGTATTTTATGTCAGATAGCTTGATTACATCATTTTCAACTGGCTTTCTTATATAAATTATCAATTGCCTTAAATAATTCAATAAACTATACTAGTAACAATATCACCCATGAATTCACTCTTTAGATGAACTTCAGAAATTCATATAGACAAAACTACTTAATGATAATAATGAGGGAAGCAAATTCTAACCTCACATTACGACAAATCATAAGTATAAATTACTGACAGCTAAACACTGAAAACTTTCAAACTATGATAAATATGCATGTCCTTTCTTCAAAACAAAGAAAAATTTAATATACATATACATATACAATTCGCAGCCAGTGATATGAAAGAATTTTTTCAGACTGGGGCACCCAAAGTGATTTCTAAGATAATTTAATTCCCATTTTCTGATCAAGCATTTACAAATGAAACCTTATATCAATTACTTAATTTTTAAGTACCCAATATAAATCTAGTTTACATATTTACCACATCACCAAATATAACCATGGTTTTTTGTAATATAAAATATACCCACCTCACAAAATAATGTAAGCTTGTCATCTGGTAAAAGACCATTAGCTTCATCAAGCAAAAAATCCCTTCTAATGAATTTTTTAAATCCCCAGTCCTTCCCTTGCACAAATCGATATGCTCTTTGGCTTTCTGGTGGAAAACAGAAATTTAAATAAAATAAGTATCCAAGAGACATTTTTTTAATGATAGCAAAGGTAAATGAAATATACAAACATAGCACTTGGCTAATACATGCATCATAAAAATTCTAGATATGTGTTCCTACATTAAGTATTGAGTCTGAGAAAACAGATCACATTGCTACTCAAATTTTGGTCATGATCAGTGAGTGAGCTCAATTTCAGACTCTGAATCTCTTAAGAAGAAAAGCAAATAAAATCTCATGGAGATCTTTTTAACAATCTTGAGCCTAAATTAAAATAGAACCAAATATGTTGGAAAAGCATACTATTCATTATCTAATATCAGAACTTTATTAGAAACATATTTCTTGTTTCTGCTTCTCCCCTTAAAAACGTATACTCTATATCACTCAAAATCTTTTAAGCTTTCCTGGCATATCCATCCCATTGATTTAAGCTTTACTAAACTACAGAAAAAACTATAAACTGGTGAAAAAAGATAAAAGTAGTATTTACTAAGTCTTTAGACATAACTATCTCATCCCATTAAAAAACTTTTGAAGTTCAAAAGATGATTTTAGGATAATTTTATGAATAAATATCCAAAATAAATGTTTCAGGTGCCTACAGTACTGTACAACAAATATGTACTATGAAAAAACAAGATCCTTTATAAAAAGTATTCATCATCTTGTATGGAGAAAAAAAATCAAGGCAGAAAACCAGTAATCTAATAACCAAAATACTCCACTATCTTAAATGCAGACATTTGTGAAAATATATGTTCCTTCAACAATAAAAGATACTATTTAAAAGGTGTACTTTTTTTTGAGTGAGTTACTTGATTCTATGATTCACTTCAGAAAATATTTAAAATTTAACGTGTCAATTCATGAGATATTTTCCTATTATACATACTACATTTTCTATAATATTCTATTATTATTTTATTATGAAGCTCCAGGTGACAATATGTGGATCCTGGACTGAATTTAATAGTTCCTGATTCTAAGAACTGATTTTCTTTTGGTCAGTATTGAGTTCACTGCTCAAAAAAATTCTAGTGACAAAATACTGGGGCATTCCATCTCTTCTGCATTGTTCTCCAGATTTTATTACCTGGCAAAAAAGAAATGGGAGAAGTACTTCTTGAACACTTTATTATATCTGCCAGGTACTGAACAAGGCACTTTTTCCTAACAGCCAACTATATTTTCAAATGACAAGTTAATGTAATTTCAAGACATGAAGAAGTAAAAATATTAACTGCTCTTTGAGGTCTTATGAAGTATAAGACTTAGCAAAACAACTACGGCTTTGTGCTAAAACTTAAAAATGAACATTAAACGTTTTGGGCTAGGTAGATTTTAGTCAGGGGAGGGGGCCCTACAGAGACTTCTTCACTAGATTTGCAAATCACTTACCCATTGCTTTTGTTTCTTCCCTTTTAGCGTTCAGAAGAGAAAATTTGAATTTTGCTCGAACTTCACTTTTGGGGCAGCTGACTAAAAGCAAATATAAGGACAAGTAGTCTTTACTTTCATCATCTAATCCCTTTGGGTTTACCCTCAGGCACCTAAAATAAAACAATAGGCTCACTTGGAGGAATATTATACTTGAAGCATGCAAAAGAGAGGCAATACTGAAGTCATCTGTTAACATTACAAATAACACTCCTGTAAATATTCAGTTATTTACATTTCTCCATACCATTAGGAACTTATTACCAATTTAATATAACATCATACTAACAGCCACCCCCTTAAAAGCAACAATAACAAGAAACCATAAGGAGCTGATAATCATATCAAAAACAAAAAACAATCCAAACTAAACAAAAATCTTACCATTTCATTTTGTCACTTGGGCCAGATGAAAATGTTGAACTTTTTAACACTTCACCCATTTCCTCTCGACAAAAACTGAAGTTATTAATGGTCCACATGTAGGAAAACTTTACTACTTTAACCTAGAGATTCAGAAAGTCACTTTTTATAATGATTCTATGCTTTTAACTTGTCACATGTTAAATATAATATGATTCACTCTTCCATCCCTTCTAATAACTATACCAGAGTGTTTTATAATAATGTTCTTAAGATACTGTAACATTTATAAAAGACATAAATTTTTTTTTAAGAGCATATACCTGTGTGTAACACCAGCTTTCTGCTATAGGACCAGTGGACATATCTCCAGGCAGAGGTGGGCTGGGTTCCCGAGACATTATCACCTTATTATAGTCTTTTATGATTTATGCAGTAACCCACACAGCTGAGTACTCTACCTACAAAGAAAATAAATTCTTAAAAGTTTGACAGAATCAAGAAGAAAGATACATGAGTAATAATTCAAAATTAGATTTGGAGGACTAAGGATTTCAAATAATTTTAATAATTTTTAAGAATTGAAATCATAAGGCCTTGTAACATATGACACTTGAAATCTACAAACCTTTTATAGACAAGACATTATTTTTTCAAGAAAGTTTTCCAAATATATGTGCATTTACATAAATATAAATGTCCATTTTAATTTTATATATATATGTATAAAATTCACAAAACAAGGCCCACATAGCTTAAGAGTTAAGATCACATCATGAAACTTTAATGATATTGATATCTGATTCACCTTTTCCTTGAGCTATTTATGAAAACCAAAGGAGTTACAAAGTTATCATTATAAATAGTTACTCATCTGTCAGATTCCAGTTTTCATGAAGATTTCTACAAAAGTCTACATCTACCTCTGACAAACAGGCTCACTGATAAGACTGTCTCTATCAGAGTGCTTCTCACTGAGATGTACTATATCATAAAGTTTTCTTATAACCTGGTCAGAATATTACTGAAAAGATGAAGTTTTGCAACTTGAAAAGTCTACTAAAGAGCTAAATACCATACATAAATACCATACTTTATAGAAGTAATAGTGTTTCAAAATTACATTCCTACCAAAGGATTTAAGACTGAAGAACCTGCTTTTAACTTAAGAATAAGTGAAGAAAATAACATGCCTCCAATGAGGGGAAAATATTAGGAAAAGAAAAAAAGGACATCAACCAAAATGCAGAGAAAGTTTTGCTTTCTCTTTATTCTACTGAAAAACATAAGATGAAAAAACCAAGACTGAAAAAAGCTGTCTGAAAGACACTCAGAAATAAAAGAGCTAAAGAAAATATAAAAACATGTAAAACTATGAACAAAGAAGCACATTAAAAATTTGTATGTGAAGACATTCAACATTGGGGAAAAACATCACATCAGTATAAAACCCAGAGAAAATGATAAAACAGTAAAAAATATTGGAAGACAGAACAAAATCAGAATTACTCAGCAAGTAATTATTCTATCAAAAGCAAATAGAAAAGCAGTAACAAATCAAATATTAAAGAAGCATACTCTCAAGCTGAATAAAGAACTTGGTTGGTATGATTGAACTCAATCAAATAAAATCAGAAACCACCACTGAAATACATTTTTATGAAATTCAAATGAGAAAAAAATTACAAATATGTATTCTTTAAAAAGAAAATCAATATGGCCTCATATTTCTACTAACTGCTAAAAGCCTTAAGAAAAATAAAATAATCACTATAGAATTCTAAGTGGGGAAAAGGCTATAGCACAAGAGTTTTACAATAAATCATGTTTTTGCTCGTTTTTAAAGGTAAAATTTCATTTCCAGATGTGTAAAATATGTATGCTTCCCTCATAACTGTTGAGTGGAGGAGATAAGTTCACTCGAGTTACTTTTTAGCCAAAGACACATGAATCAAGAGGAAAAACAAAAACCTCTATATAATGGTTCTGAATTTTATAGCACTTCAGTATGTGCAAAAAAAATTCACGTCTTAAAACTGAATTTGCAGGTCAAATCAAAACAACTCTTATAAGAGTGTGACTAAATAAGTCAACTGGATAAAATACTAAGTAAAAGTATGAAACCTGGGCAGAGGGGGGGAGGGTACTGGGGATTGAACTTAGGGATATGCAACCACTGAGACACATTCCCAGCCCTATTTTGTACTTTAGTGACAGAATCTCACTGAGTTGCTTAGCACCCTCACTTTAGCTGAGGCTGGCTTTGAACTTGTGATCCTCTTGCCTCAGCCTCCCAAGCTGATGGGAATATAGGCATTTGCCACTGCGCCTGCCTGGCTGAAATAAGTTATTTTTAAGGCACAAAATCAGTGGGCCAGGACTCAGTTTTGAAATACATAAGTGAGGAAAACATATTCATCTGATTCTTATAAACAAGAAAACAGCTGATTCAAAACCTGATTTAAAATTTTTTCAAAGGAAACAAAATTTGCTTAAGTCATTATAAAATATTCATCTATAGGTATTTTTAAAAGTAGCTTTATAATATATTCTAATATATATATTACAATATATTCTTCAAGTTCAAGAAACATTTTGGTGAAAAAAAGTATAATAACTAAATAAATATTAAGCTAGATAAGAAACTAGTAAATTAAAAGAGGATGGTGCAATTGCTATGAAATGGCTAAAATTTTTTCAATTAAATAGCACAGAGGCTACTTCAGATAGGGTAACAAGGTTTCCTTGAAGAACCAAAAATAAGAATAGGTAGAAATGCCAAGAGATGTCTGTAACTGAGAAAAAAGAACAGCAAGTACAAATGCCCTGGGGCAGGAAAGGATTTGAGAATACTTCAAGAAAAAGGAGTCCAATGTCGTTGATTTCACAGAAAAATTTCATTCAGGGGGAAAACAGTGTAATTTAGTCAGGCATGGCAGTGCACACCTGTCATCCCAGAGACTCAGGAGGCTGAGGTAAAAGGATCGAAAGTTCATGGCCAGTCTCAGCCTCTCACAGAGGCCCTAAGTAACTCAGCGAGACCCTGCCTCAAAAAGGGCTAGGGATGTAGCTCAATGGTTAAGCACCCTTAAGTTCAATCCCTAGTATCAAAAGAAAAACAGGAAAAAACCCTGTAACTTATATAGTATTAATTCAGAACAAAGGATTCATGAAAATAAAGGATAGGGAGGAATAAAAGCAGGAAAATAATTAGGAAGTTAAGAATAGTATTCTGAGGAGATAATGAATGGTATACCAGAAAAGATAGGGAAAGGTTCCCCTCAATTGAAGCAAATATTTTAGATTAACAGAATTTTTAATGAATAAAATTAAAAGAAGGGGAAATCAAAGATAGATCCTAGTTTGAGACCTAAGGAACTGGGAGGATGACAGTGCCATATACTAAAATGGAGAATGTTAAGTACAAAAATACTAGGGACTGACTGGGGGACCGGTTTCAATAGAGTGTTAGGTACAACAGCAAAGAAAACTTCAAGTGGAACAATTTTTAAATTACTTCTTTGTAATTAGATTGTTTGTCCCTTCCCTTTTTAATAATGGCTTCTACACTAATGCACTCACCCAAATGTATTTACAACTCAAATACTAAAGAGTTCCTATCATGTGATATGCTTGCAGCACAATACAATGAACAGGGGATAATCAGCAAGCAGACAGGCAAAAAAACACAAACAAAACAAAAACGGACAGGGTGATGACATCGGGGATATTCTTAGAAGCACTCACATGTTTACTGCAGCACTATTCACAAGAGGCAAGACAGAATCAACTACAAAAAGCAAACTGAATAAAAAGGTTGCAAAGATGGGATATGAAGAATGATGGTGAAAAAACTACATTTTGGCCACTGTATTATAAAGTATTAGGAACTTTCTTTATTCTTTGGTAATTTTATGGGATGGTTGGTGATAATCTCAATTATAAGGAAATAGATTTAGACAGTTCCAAAAGCTTATTTTAAGCAGTAAGATAATTAAAAAGTGGTTCAACACAATTTCTCAGGCAATGCTTTTTCCACAGAATCATGCTGCTCTTCAGATATTATAGGGCTTAAACAGGCCTTACCTATCTGTCCAAGGCTGAATTTTATAAATGAGGATCAAGAAAACAGAAATGGACTTAACAGAAACTGAACGGTTTAGATAAATAATAGTATAAAGAATAAAGAAATGATCTCCCAATGTCTGTTTCAGTGATCATTTCTGTTATTTTTCCCCTATTAATCAATCTGCACATCAACAAAAAAGGGTTGCTTCAATATTCTATTGTATATATAGATGCTCCTTGACTTACAATAGTATTATATCCTGATAAATCCATCAAATATTGAAAATATTATAGACTTTTTGAAAATGCGTGTGATACTACTGAAAATAATATCTAAGCTACTGAACATGATAGCTTAATTACACAGTATACTCTAGAGTAACAGTTATTTACCTGCATGGCTGAATGGAAACAGTGGCTTGCTGCCACAGCCCAACATCATGAGGGTATCTTATTGTGTTTCGATATCCCAGGAAAAGATCAAAATTCAAAATGGTTACTACTAAATGTACACAGCATGATTAGTATTGAATGTATATCACTTTCACAATATTATAAAGTTGAAAAATCATAACTTAAAGCATCCTAAGTCAGGGACTACCTATACATGTTTTAGGAATTTTAGGTGTGATATTGCCTGCTTTTATTAAAGAAAATCAAGAATATACAAGATTATCTTATATGTTAGAATTAATGTTCTGCAAATATACATCATACACATACAAGCTACCTAATCTTATTAGAAAAAATTCAAATAATTCGAAAATAGAAACATGTCATACATGCACACACCATCAAATTTCCTCTCCTTCCCAGAAGATTTCACTGATTACTATATCAATAAATGAATTCATATTCTTTCTACATATGGTTGAGTCCCTAACTTTCTAGGTAGAAGTTCACAGAGATGTAATAAATATGCACACAGATGTGATAAAAAATGGTGGAGAATTCTAAAACTCTATCCCTCTGCAAAAATCAATGAGTAAGCAGGCAAAAAAAAAAAAAAAAAAACCATGTCAGAATTAACTTTTTTTGGAACTCTGAAATCTAATAAAAAACTTACGGCCACTGGTATATTCTTAATGAAGAAAGAAGCTACTGAATTTCAGTGAGAAAGCATTATGGCATTTTAACACACCTGCTTACTATAGCCTCTCCCCAGTTCAGTGTTCAGCCACAAAATCATTTCAACAATTTTGGTAGAAGGTGTTGGTACCAGAGAGAACAATATGGACCCTATTCTAAAAGAATTGTGGTTGTGTGCTTGGACAGTCTGGAAACTCTCTTGAAGGACTAGTTTGGGCTCTGACATCTATTTTATTTTATATCTGTAGTGCTGGGAATTGAACCCAGAGTCTTTTACATGCTCAGCAAACACTGTGCCAC